TGATATCAATCTCCAGCTCATACATATGCATGCACAGGCTCACACGCCTGCACACATATGCATACAACATACTCACAAGCTCATCACATGCTTCCCAACATCCTAGCCTAGTATTCATGGTCCACTTCTTTCCTTGCTGCAAACCCAGCCACCAGGCTCCCAGTGGAAGATCTATCACTAATAAGCTTTCTCACCTGAATTTCTTTAAAACGCCTTGGCTGATAGCCAAGTAGCCCTCAATGGTCGGTACTCACTCAGTTACCTGCAATAAACCACTCCTAGTCTTCCTACCCAAAGGGGATCACTCCCTTCCTCAACTCTTTTATAAGCTGGACATGGTGGTACCAAATTGTAGGTCCGGCACTGGAGAGGCTGAGGCAGGAGGACTGGGAGTTTGAGGCCAGCCTGAACTATGTGGTGAGACTTCCTCTCAAAATAAAAACAAAAAGCCTTTGGAAACATCCCCAAGAGTGCCTGAAAAGGAAGACGGGAGAAATGATAATGCAGAACTGTATGTAACCAATTAAGACAGTTCTTCAGTATTAAGGATTATTTTCACATGCATGGCCTCATTCAGTCCCCCAAACTGCCCTTTGAGGTGCACAGCATCTTCCCATTTTATAGGAGGATGTAGGAAGGCAGCACCAGCATACAAAATCTACTCTTTATGTGTAGGGGGGGCACACAGCTGTGCTCTCAGTACTCAGGAGGCAGATGCATGAGGATCTAGGCAGGACTATGACTGGCCTGGTCTCCACAGTGAGTTCTAGGCTAGCCAAGGCTACAGTCTCAAAATTCCAATTCAGACCAAACCCTGCTCTTTTCTCACACCCTATCTAATGTAGTATGTATCTCAGACTGCCCAGATCCACCTGTTAGTCAGACAACTCCCACTCCTTCTCCCTACCCCTGCTCCCTGCCAACCCTAACTTTAAGATCTTAGAGTCTGTATTTTTCTTGAGGGGTGAGAAGTCACGACCCAGGGGTAATATAGTCTGGATTCTTTCCCGAGGACAAAGTTCTTTCCCGAGGACAAAGATCAGCTCACTTGCTCAGGCCCCAGATAGGGTCCAGTCAGGTCTTGGGACAGCCAAGGCAGTACTTCCCACCTACCTGGGGCATAGCTCAACACCCTCACACCAGGCTCCTCTGCAGCCAGGACCTGGTATATCATATCCCGGGCAGCCTTCCCTGCACAGTACAAGGCCCAGCCTTTGAAGGGCTGCAGAGCACAGAGAGATGAGATGTTAACCACAATCCTGCTGAGGCCAGGGCTTTGGGGGAAGGCCTTCAGGGTGCGGGAGGTCAAGCAGAGCATAGAGGTCAAGTTCAGAGCCCAATAGTTATTCACTTCGGCTAGGTCATTCAGATTCAAGAAGCCTTTGGAAACATCCCCAAGGGTGCCTGAAAAACGGGACGGGAGAAATGATAATGCAGCCTTTCCGGGTTCTTCCTCATACCCACTTGCCACCTGCCAACCAAGTCCCAGGACGCTTCCCCGACTCTGCACAGACCCTATCACCCAACCACTGGCTGAGAATACACTTACCTGAGTGGGACTAGGGTCAGTGTAGAGCTCTATAGAGAAACAGGGAATTGTTTCAGGTTCCCGCCAGAGGGCACTGATCTAGGCGGTCGGGAAAGTTCTACAGAAGCTTTAGAAAACCAGGTTGGACTAACATTGAAGGACTACAGGGGTATACTCCTCCACCGCTTGCCGAACCAGCAGGCGCAACTAGGACTTTCTAGGGCTCGCCCTCCACCTCCCCCAACAGGGTGGGGGAAGAGAGCTCACATGGAATCCGCCAGGATCTCCAACCCCCAGGAGCCTCACCCGCGTTGTTGATAAGCAGCAAGCGCCGCAGCCCCTCGGGCCTGGGCAGTTCGCGCACCGCGCGGAGCAGCTGCTGCACGCCGGCCTCCGAGCCCAGGTCCGCGGCGACCCGCACCGTGCGCAGGCCGGGTCGCTCCGCACCCAGCTCCTCCTCCAGCTGCCGCAGCGCCGCGTCACTGCGAGCGCTTAGGAGCAGCACGGAACCTGGCGACAGCAGCTGGGCCAGAAGCCTGGCCAGCGCCCGGCCGAAGCCCCGGGAGGCCCCGGTCAGCACGCACACGGCGCAGCCCAGGCCGCCACCCTCCATGCCGGAGCTCTGCGGCTGACGCAGCGTCCAGAAGTGCGCGCGGTGCAGGGGCGGCGCCTAACGCTACCCTTGGCTTTGGGTGGCGGAAGCAGGGCTAGTGGCCTGGCAGCGTCTTCCGGCGTCCGGCGTCTGCGTGAAGAGGTGACGAGAAAAGCCCCCGGGAGGAATGGCCCCGCGAATAAGTCTCGTCATCTTCCCAGCGCTGCCTGCTGCACTTTGCATCCCTCACACTCAGCCCTCTGCTGGGACACGTGTTCGCAAGTTCCACCCTGTTCCAGAATTCAGCTTCCTTCGGTTGCTGATCTCCAGGGCAGGCTTGCCTTGCTCAGTATTGGGCATCCCTGGGCGCAGCCAGTGACAGCAGTGAATGAAGTACTTGCCTGTGTGGGCTTGGAGTGCCTCCTAGGATTGAAGAGCCCTTCGCTCTCTGGGTGACAGAGGCATCCTCTGGAAAAATCACAGTACCACTAAAGGACTGAGAAAAGGAGGGGCTGGAGACCCTAGGATTGAAGAGCCCTTCGCCCTCTGGGTGACAGAGGCATCCTCTGGAAAAATCACCGTGCCACTCCAGGACGGAGAAGAGGAGGGGCTGGAGAGATGGCCCCAGTGTTAGCTGCAAGCACTGCACTTGTAGAGGAACTGAGTTCAATTCCTGATACCTACATAAGTTGGCTTATCACTTGTAACTCCTGTCCCAGGGGATCCGACACCCTCTTCTAGCCGCCTTGGGCACCTGGCTCTCATGCACAGTCACACACATCACATAATTAAAAAATAAAATCTTTAGAAAGAGAAAGAGGAGCACAAGGGAAGAGAAAGGAACCTCTCACCCCTGCTTATGAGAATCATGAAAATCTCACAAACAAGATTATGACTCATGTTTATTTACAGTAAAATATACCTTGTTTTCCTTGTGACCTATTATAGTCATCTTAGCCTGAAAATTTGTGTCATGTACTTCATAAACCACCTTATAATCTCAACTATTAAAGAAAAGTTTGGAGAGATGACTCAGCTGTTAAGAGAGCTTGTTGTTCTTGCAGAGAACCAGAGTTCAATTCCTAGGACTTATATTGGGCAGCTCACAACCATCCACAACTCCAGCTCCAGAGCTACAACTCCAGCTCCAGAGCTACAACTCCAGCTCCAGGGGATCTGACACCCTGGTCTGGCTTCTTAGGACACTGACACAGGCACAAAACCATAAAGACTTATTGCTATACCCATAGATTAGTGCATCCTTAACTCTCACCAGAGACGCTTCTTGCAGTAGACGGTGATTAACACAGAGGCCCATGACTGGTAAATGTGTAGAGAACAAGAGACTGGGGAGTGCTCAGCCCTAAAAGGGACAGCTATATCATACTTTTTCCTCCCAAGGCTCAGGGATTACTTCAGAAGAGGGGGAAGAAAGATTGAAAGAATCAGAGGTGGTAGATGAATACAAGGAAACTGAGTTTTTTGGGTACTGTAGGGTAGGTGCATGCACAAGACCTGTACAACCCCATGCCGAACAAACCCAGCATTGATGAGGGAGGTGGACAAGAAACTCCAGCCTTAACTGAGTATCTATTGGCAAATAATAGTTACTAGGAGAGTTTTCTTTACTGGAGTAATGCCTCGTAGGTTGACCAGACTCCAAGGGATAGACCCACACCCAAGAGTATTTGGGGAACACAATCAGACTCCATAGGCTTTTGGAAAAATGATAATAGAGTGCATGAAGTTGGGGGTGGGGGCAAAGAAAAGTAGGGGTGGAGGTGAGGGAGAGGACCTGAGTGTGATCAAAATACACTGTATGAAATTCTCCAAGAATAAATTTAAAAATAAAAAAAATTATTTGTAGTTGATTTTAAAAATTTTATTATTTTTATTTTATGTATATGAGTATATTGCCTGCACATATGTGAGTACACCCATGCCATGCAATGTCACAGAGGTCAGACGAGAGCTTTGGATTTCCCTGGAACTGGAGTTAAGGATGGCTCGTAGCCGCCATGTGGGTGCTGGGAATTGAACCTGGGTCCTTTGCAAGAGCAGTCAGTGCTCTTAACTGCTGAGCCATCTCTCTAGCCCCTGATTTTTGTTTTTTGAGAAAGATTCTCCCTGTAGCTCCAGATGGCCTGGTACTCACTATGTAGACCAGGCTGGCCTGGATCTCATAGAGATCTGCCTGCCTCTGGTGGGATTAAAGGCATGTGCTACTACACTGGCAATAAATATTAAAAAAATAAAACTCATAAAAAAGAAAGAAAAGTTCACTAACAGAGTGTGATTGCACACACTGGTAGACCCAGCACCTGGCAGATGGAGGAGGGTCAGGTATTCAAGAACTAACTAGGCTACATAGTGAGTTCCAGGCCAGCTGGGCTACAGGAGACCCAAAACACGGAAAAAGAAGGTTGGGGAGATAGTCCAATTGGGGCAAAGTACTTGCTTGGCTGAGTTTGATCCCCATATTTTAAAAAAAGTAGGTGCTGTGGTGTGTGTTTGTAATCTCAGCAATGGGAAAGCAGGAAGCAGGGTGGATCCCTGGGGTTCCCTGGGTAAACAGCTGAGGCTACGTCATCACATGGAGAACTATAAACTACAGTCATTGCCCTCTGGCCTCCACACACCCACACCCATAGAACATGTACACATATACACACAGGAGAAAAAAAATAAAAAAGAAAGGTTCCTTAAATGAAAATAAGTATACTGAGACATGTTTAAACCTTTCAAACAATGTAACTCAAAAAGGCCCCAAATGGCACTGTCTCAGTGCTACAGACCTGTAATCAAAGTACTTAGGAGGCTGAAGCAGGATGACCAGATTCATGGCCAGCTTCAGATGCATATGGAGTTCCAGGTCTGGCCCTGCCCCCACCAAAAAAAAAAAAACCTCCCATCTGTAGGATAAGAGATGGTTTAGCAGATAAAGGCACAAGTACCAAACCTGGTGGCCTGAGTTTAACCCCCAGGACCTACATGATGGAAGGGGAGAACTAAGTCATGCAAGCTGTCTTTTGACCTCGACATGTGAATCATGGCATGTACATGCCTCCACATATACATACACACAATAAATAAAATGCAATAACAATCATTCACACATATAGTTAAGTTAGTTAGCAAGCACTTTAATATAGCTCTCTGGAGAAGTCTATATTTGCTTCTGAGTACCTTCCCCTTAACTGCATATTATTGTCTTTTCGAATCTTGCTCTCTTTTTCTCTCTCTACCCCATTCTTAAATCTATATTAAAACATCTTACATTTCTCGTTTGTTTGTTGTTGAGATAAGGTTTCCTTGGAGCCCATTGTAGCTCAGGCTAGCCCAGATTGGCTTCAAACTCGATCTTCCTGCTTTAGCCTTTCAAGTGCTGGGATTACAAGTATATTCTAGGATATCAGCTCTTTTTAAAAGTATTTTATTTATTATTTTCATGTGCGTGAGTGTATTGCCTGCATGTATGTAAGTGCACCAGTGTCATGCAATACCTGCTCAGGTCAGAAGAAGGCATCAGATTCCCCTTGGAACTAGAGTTACAGACGGTTGTTAGCTACCATGTGGGCGCTGGGAATTGAACCCAGGTCCTCTGCAAAAGCAGCCAGTGCTCTTAACCACTAAGCCAACTCTCCAGCCTTGACACCAGCTCTTTAAACCTTTTCTTGGGGGGTTGGAGAGATGGCTCAGGGGTTAAGAGCACATACTGCTCTTGTTGAGGTCCTGAGTTTGGTTCACAACTGCTGGTAATTCCAGCTTCAGGAGATTCAATGCCCTGTTCTGGACTTCATGGGCACCTGTACTTACATGCCCATACCCACAGACAGATACACATATATAAACATGATTAAAAAGAAAAAAGAATTTTCTTGGGACTGGAGAGATGTCTCAGTGGTTAAGAACATTGGCTGCTCTGACAAAGGACCTGGGATCGAGCCCCAGAATGGACATGCAGTTAACAGCCATCCATAACTCCAGTTCCAGGGGATCTGATGCCTTCTCCTGGCCTTCACAGGCATGGCATGCACTTGGTACACTTACATGCAGACAAAACTCATAGAAATAAAACAAACAAACAAACAAAACCCCCACCCTTTTCTTAATAAATTCCAACTCTGCTTCATCCTGACTCATTGCAAAATTCTTCACTGCAGCACAGGTCTAGAATCTCAGCTTCACCTGAGCAGAGGTCTCTACTTGTAGCCCTGAGCCCTGTCCCTTACCACCACTGACTAATCGAAACACTGTCTCCCTTGCAAGACTCTGAGCAGCTTGGTGCTTTGACCTGCTCTCCCTCTCTTCCTGAGGTTTCTGACTCCTCCTCTCTCTAAATGTCATGTACCTGGGATTCTCTACCTAGAGGATTTTAGTAGCTTCTTCCTGCTTTTCAGAACTAGCAGACAGGTTGGGAATCACAGTCTCATCCATTAATTCATTAAACATTGCTGGACTTCTACCGCATTCCATGCTTTGACAGAAAGGAGGTGTCGGGGCCGAACATGAAATCTTGCCTCTTCTGAACTGAGCTGCTTTGAGGAAACAAGCACTATGCATGATTTGCCTAGGCTACTGTGGAAGAACACCTGGAAAGTTTTTCCCTTCTGAGAAAAATGTTTATCTGTCCCACATGTCCCACTGCCAGTTTGACAAGTATAATCTCAGGGGCACTATACAGACCCTAGAATTTTTTTAAAAAATAGCACAGTGGGTCCCAAATTGTGTCTATACATTGGAGTCACTGAAGAATTTCAAAAACTCTGTGCCCTGGGGCTGGAGAGATGGCTCAGCAATTAAGTGCATGTACTGCTTTTGCAGAGTACTGGGGTTTGGGTCTCAGCATCCACATTAGCTGGTTCACCTCTGTCTGTAACTCCAGCTCCAGGGATCCAATGCCCTCTTATGGCTTCCTCTGGCACCTGCACTCATGTGCACACACACATACAGTCTCATCATATACACACAATTAAGAGGTGGAGAAGCAAGCACAGGGAATAGGGGATAGGACACGTTTTTATCCTAATGTCTAATGCAATAGTACTGTGTCTTTTGCCCATTCA